CAACTTGGCGCTGTGGGAGTTAATTGTAAGGTATTTATAGTGCGCTGTCTAGTGTAACTCCCAGACAACTTGGCGCTGTGGGAGTTAATTGTAAGGTATTTATAGTGCGCTGTCTAGTGTAACTCCCAGACAACTTGGCGCTGTGGGAGTTAATTGTAAGGTATTTATAGTGCGCTGTCTAGTGTAACTCCCAGACAACTTGGCGCTGTGGGAGTTAATTGTAAGGTATTTACAGGCATTTACACATTACAGGCATTTATACTTTACAGGTATTACAGGCATTTATAGCTGTATTACAGGTAATGTATAGCATTCAAGATTGCTGTAGGCGATAAGGTAAAACGTCTTTCTACAGCTGCATGGCTAGGATCCGAAGAGCCGCATTGAGCGCGGCGCCGCGCGTTTTAGTTGGTAATTAGTAATATTCAGATTTAAAACAGCTGGTCCTAAAAACGTGATTTGATTGCTCGATAAGATAGTTTCCAATAACACTAACTTATGTCACAGGCATCCAAAGCTTTGCCCATAGTTCTAAACTTATGAACTGTTAGTGAGTCGTCCATGTCTTTGTAGTACGCTCCATCAATTTCGTTTCTGTAATCACACCGGACTGAAATAACAAAACATTTACTTATCTACAAAACAACCTTGTAAGACTCGGGTCATATACCTTTAATTTGTTCTGCTTCAAGAGGCTATCTAACAAGAGTAATCACTTATTTTAGGTTTAGGAATAGTGCAAAAAGTAAGCCATGACAGGAATTATAGATCATCCTGTATACTGTTGTCTGTTGTACGTTTGGGTTTGAATAGAACATTTTACCAAACAACTAGTTCAATCATTATAGAGCTTCAGGAATCAATATTATTCGCCTAAACTTGGTACTAGGGTGTTACTAGGGTGTTACTAGGGTGTTACTAGGGTGTTACTAGGGTGTTACTAGGGTGTTACGCATGGTACTTACATTTGTAACTTAGTTCAGATAGAACATCTCCGACCAGACTGAGAAATAAAAACAAGGAGAAAAGCATATTTCTCCCCGCCATTCTGAAATTGATTTACTATTTAAAATGTATTAACATGAATCGATAAAGTCTAATGATGTGGAAAATGTTACAGTTTGTTTGTTGTTTTTTTTTAATTCTAGAATTTGCACCATATTATTGGATGATTACAAACACAATTTTTTAGATTTGGTGGAACAATACGATTTTACAGTGAACGAATCAACTTTTTATCTTAAAGCAATACCCTCCTCAATTTTGTATTCGAAAATTCTTATAAATATAAATCGAGCGTTACATTTCAGCCTCGCAAAATAACAATGACATTATTTTGACATATTACAACTAACGGAAAATGGTACTACAATATAAGTTGCATAATGTGTGGCTGGATGACAATATAGCTGAACTAAGAAAAATAAACTTGATTATATGTATAATAATTAATTCGGCTAAACCAACGCAAAAGCCACATTGACGTTGGGGCCGTCAAAAAATAATAAACAATTAGTTTCACCAGGGTGGCGGAAAGTAAGGGATCTGAGAAAAACACACAAAAAGAGTAAACCCAGTAGTGGTAACCCAGTAGTGGTGGGCTAACAGTGTATTGGTACTACAAAGTGCTGCATTTAATGGTGCGGCCTAACAACTTCATCCGTGTGGGTGGTGCACATGTCACATGATCAGTGTCACATGTTACATGTCACACTGATCATTAAACCTGGAGTGGGATTTGTTTTAAAACGTATAAAGATATAAGAGATACAAGAAGTTTGTTTTCGCAGGATCTTTCAAAATACGTGTGTAAATCGTCTTAATATAAGCTGATCATTAGAGGAGAAAACAGTTTACAAGTTCAAAAGTATCTTATATCTTTATATGTGAAAGTTCTGTAGCTGCTGAATAAAGAAGCAGTGGTGTTACTAAGGTGTTACTAGGGTGTTACTAAGGTGTCGATAAAGAAGCAGTGGTGTTACTAAGGTGTTACTAGGGTGTTACTAAGGTGTTGATAAAGAAGCAGTGGTGTTACTAAGGTGTTACTAAGGTGTTATTAAGGTGTTATTAAGGTGTTACTAAGGTGTTAATAAAGAAGCAGCAGTGTTACTAAGATGTTACTAGGGTGTCACTAAGGTGTTAATAAAGAAGCAGTGGTGTTACTAAGGTGTTACTAGGGTGTTACTAAGGTGTTGATAAAGAAGCAGTGGTGTTACTAAGGTGTTACTAGGGTGTTACTAAGGTGTTGATAAAGAAGCAGTGGTGTTACTAAGGTGTTACTAGGGTGTTACTAGGGTGTCACTAAGGTGTTGATAAAGAAGCAGTGGTGTTACTAAGGTGTTACTAGGGTGTTACTAAGGTGTTGATAAAGAAGCAGTGGTGTTACTAAGGTGTTACTAGGGTGTTACTAAGGTGTTTATAAAGAAGCAGTGGTGTTACTAAGGTGTTACTAGGGTGTTACTAGGGTGTTAATAAGGTATTGATAAAGAAGCAGTGGTGGTGTCTACTATTAAACCTGCACCGTTAAGTGGAAGAGTTCTGGTTAAGTTATACTAACACTATTAATGATTCTGTTGAGGAGTGAACTAACAAGCATTTATGCTGGAAAATACCGTTAGCTTCATCTGATCTTGTTATAATTGTGATAATTACATGTTATACAGGAAAGATATTTGTAAGTTTGTATATGTATTACGTTATAATTATACTGATCCATTGAAGAATTTAACCATTTTATTCCAGAATTTGAATGAACAAGGTTCAATGATAACTAACAGTTGACCTTTCCTTCGTCCCTGCTTATACTATTCATTGCAATGTCTAGTGTCTACCACCCCTACTGGTCATAAGTACACATACTGCCTACATTCGTTCCACGGTGCTTTGTCTCTAGCATGCAGATTTATCAATAGTGTCTATACTACCGATAGCTTGTAGAATATAAGCAGGTGTTGAGTATTGAGAAGCGTACCTACGTCACTGTGGGTACCTGTGCAATGACCAGTACTGGTGACTAACTGCTCATATTTCCTTCGTCTCTGCTTAATTCGTATTGCAATAGGTGCCACGGCTATATTCGTTTATATAAGATGCTTTGCACGGAGCAAGCATCTTATATATATTTTTATCACAAGTATCACTTATTTCTTTATTTTGAGTCGTAGTTATACTTTTTTCCCAATTTCATTGAATTTATTCAGAGATTTACAAGTTTGTTTTCGTAAAAGTTAAAACCCCAATTCAAAACAGGTAATAAATATAATATAATATATAAAACAGTGTCCAGACACACTGATTTTCATATAATCGAAATCTTTTCCTCCTGTTCTATTTTAAATGTTCTAGACCCTACTGTACAGTTATTAGTATCAGCAAACTACGTGGTTCGCATGTCAATGGCCGATCATTGTCACCCCTGCTGCAGCCCTACTCAAGACAATGTTTTATCATACTGATCACTGTCAGCTCTTTACGCGGTCATAAGGGAAGCAGATAAAGTTAACAATATCACCTGTTTGTTTGTTTGCTTGTTTTTATAACCCGTCCCCAATCTCGTACCGGAAAATGACAACAGACTCTCCGAAAGTCTTGAAGTTCTGTAACCACCACCCCTGGATACAGGGACTTCCAGGGGAGGTCATGGCAGTAGGAGTATGCAGTGTTCCTGTAACGTCACTGTACACTGCAGCTCCTTTATCGTTGTTTTGAGTGTCCGATCCAAAATCAAATCCTAGGCCCTAGGGTTACAAGAGACGTGGAAGCCCATGAGCGTGATAAAGTTCTGGTGTTACACGAGAAATGATAGCCTGTGAGCGTGTAGACCGCTCCTCTATCGTTGTTAAGAGTGTCCGATCCGAAACCAAATCCTGGGTTACATGAGACGCTGAGACGTGTTACTGGTAGCCTGTGAGCGTGTATACCGCTCCGCTATGATACAATAGTTTTAAAGGTAATGCGATCGATTAAATCCACCAGCTGACGCCAGTTAGATCCACTAAAATGAGCGTTGAATATTCAGTGTGGTTGTAAGATCTATATACGAGCCACCAAATTGTTCAAAATTATCTGGTGTTCTAGGCTAATCCAAAAACTCGCGAGGCCAGGAAATGTTTGAAACAAAAGGTTTAAAGGCAAGGAAGATTGCTGACCGACCTCTTTACGTTTTCTATCCTTCTAAGAGCTCCAGGGGATTTGGTGAAATTTGCAAGCCTTTGGTCTATTTGCAAGCTTTTGGTTTATTAACTCGACAGCCTGATGCCTGATGACGTTGAAACAAGGCTTTACCCAACTCAGTATGATCATTTACTGCCCAATTTAAGCTCTTAACTCCAATCAGAAACCGAGTTATTTTGATTTTAAGTGCTGACGAAGTCGCAACACGCGACAGTGTAAAAATGGGTTTTGGCCTAACATTATATTGTATCAGATGCCATCGTGGAATAGGTGGTCTCCTGCACCTTTTCCGCCTCGACATAGAAGAAAAAACCTAGAGTACATGCAACCTGCAATCATAAGGTGATTGTAGCCCTTTTTTAAAGAGAGGCTGGGCCATGAATAGCCCACGAGAGGATATCATTGAGATGCTCTGCCAACCTCTGGGGTGTGGCAACCCTGGGGAAGGTTAGCCATACTAAACCGGTGGACTCAGAAATTGAAGAGAAAGCTTATCTATTCGTTAATTATTCTCTACTCATCATATCGCTTTCTGTCCCTCAGTAAAACGAGGGCTATCGGTCATTTTTCGTGTTATATATTATGTCTACTTTATTTTAAAAACGTAAGATACATTTTTTAATATTGTCATTTGTATATACTGGTATTATACATACCCGTAACGTTTGAAAGTTGTGACCCACAATTTTTGAACACAGCAATTTGAAAATATTCATATATTTAAATTTATAAATTTTTGGTCGAGTTTATACTGATAAGGGTCATTCAAATGTAATCTTGATAACACAAACTACTTGTGTAGATTGTTATGTAATACACAAGTGACCATGATAATCTTTTTCCTATCTCTCCTTCTCTTCTCGGGAGCAGCTGCTACTGACGAAGGTACGTACAGAGCAGGAACTAGCTCTTAGCTACAATATAGTTTATGTTTGTAGGATTGTCGCAAATATTAACTCATTATCAAATGGTTCGTTAATTCTTCGAAAAAAAGCGTTACCATTACTGATTATTATTGTGTTTAGTAACAGTTTCAGTTATTTAATATTGAAACTTCAGGCTGGATTGATGCGATTAAAGGTAGTAAAATCGAGTTTGACTTGGAACGCACACCTCTTCAAATAAAGACAATCCAAGGAGAGGACGTTGTGAGTGTGTGGTTCTACGACGAAAGTGAAACGACAGCAGGAAGGATCTTCCTCAGGGATTTAACATCTTCCTCCGGCTCCCTTTCTCCCCCAGAATACGAAATCTACGACTGTATGCCGACACAGAACTTCCCCGATCATTTTGTCCTGCCAATTAATAGTGATAATGTGTGGACCATCACAAAGAAGTCCCCAGGACCAAGAATAACTGTGCAGTGTAACGAGGTAACAGTAGTGGACGTCACGTTGTCAGAGATGTGTACAACTTCATACTGGAAACCAGCGTGGAGTAAAAATGTGGCGAAGATAGAGTTCAGGTCCAATGACAAAGCTTCCAAGTACTACAGACCTAAACCACTAGGTAACGAGAGACTGATACATTTTTATTTCGAAGTTAGATTTTTGAGGGTAGATTGAAGGTATTTTACCAGTTTCCACTTTCGGTCTCCTGCTCATGGTAGCGAAATGGAATATTGACCAATCAATCTTCATCACATAACTGTTTCAGTCACTGAAAATCCAGTGCAATGTGACGCTCTGACGGTGGATAACGCCTTAATCTCACCAAGTGGCCCAGTCAATGTTAACACTGTCGTAACTATCACGTGCTCGCAACCCGGGGAATACGCTTTTCCTTCGTTAGTCACGTGTCAGACTGAGGGGGTCTGGCAAGCTACCCCGACATGTAGAAAATGCGGTTAGTACTACTACTATATTAGTTATACAGACTACTATTATATAAAACTACGTATTATATTATGTATGTACATACATTGTAATATGTAGTTTTGTATCTTTATATCAAGTGGAGTTTATGATGACTTGACATGACACAGTATATTGTGGTTATATATAACAATTATACACACTATATGACATACAGTTACTACTTCAACAATTGACAACATGTGAGTACCTTGTCAGTGTTAAAATTGTGTTAATTTGGGCAAAATTAACACAATGTTACACAAGTTCTCGTTATTATTATTATATTTTATTCTAAACCTCAAATTGAGAATTCCTTTAATTTGCATAATTGTATCTTTTATAATTTAAGTTTGAGAGATGTAAGCGGTGACACTAATTTCCAACACCGCATATGCAGATAAAAACAAGTTGTTTTCAAAGTGATTTAATACCCTTATATCACTGATGTAGACTAGATTTCAGGTATAATTCATTTGATGGGCACTGCGACAAGTAGCTATAGAAGTCTGCTTATTTCTCCAAAATGTTTTATTTCCGATTCCAAATTGGGTTACAACTGAAGTGGAGGAAACTTCAGTAGAACCTTTCTTCAAAACTACTCTCTCGATAGTTTTCGTAAATGAAAAAATGTGATTTATTTGTTGAAGTTGTTAGATTTCTACAGAATTGACCGATCTAACTTAAACTATTGCCTCTCTGTTTGTGAAGCTCTGAAATTATTAGCTATCATAAATATAGAAATGGATAGTGGATACTTTGAACAATAAAATGGAACTGTAAATCCTGATGAGTCACCTTTAAAAGCATAATCTTTAATTCAGAAAATGTTTGAATAGTTTAACAGAATTCTTGTAGAACTATTTCAAACTTACAGCAACTAATTATGTCGATCATAACATGTCCATCGTTCATTATAACACTTGTTTGCTAATCTTTCATAGCCGTCATTTTTTACTAGTCGTTACTCGTTAGCCATTACAAACGTAGCGCAGAGTAATATTCTAATAATGTTATGAGACGTTATTTTCTGCTATTGATCACTATCAGTAGATCCTCATCATTGTACCGCACTAATTATTCGCATATCTTTATTTACAGTAAGTCGTTAGCCATACTCAACAGGTGGATTCAGAAATTGAAGAGAAAGCTTCTCTATTCATTAATCATTCTCTACTCATCATATCGCTTTCTGTCCCTCAGTATAACGAGGGTCGTTGTTCGTGTATATTATGTCTACTTTCTAACTTCATTTAAAAAACGTGAGATAAATTTTTAAATATTGTCATTTGTATACATTCCCGAAACGTTCGAAACCCACAATAATTAAAGATATTCATATATTTAATGCTATTGAAATTATAATTTTTTGGTCGAGTTTATACTGATAAGGGTTATTCAAATGTTATCTTGATAACGCAAACTACTCGTTAAGTTGGTTTTGTAATACACAAGTGAAAGTGACCATGATCATCTTCTTATCTCTCCTTCTCTTCTCGGGAGCAGCTGCTACTGACGAAGGTACGTACAGAGCAGGAACTTATAATAGTTCTTAGCTACAATATAGTTTATATTTGTAGGATTGTTGCAAATATTAACTATGGTTCGTTAATACTTCGAAAAAAAGCGTTACTGCATTACTATTGTTTTCAGTCACAGTTGTAGTTATCTAATATTGAAACTTCAGGCTGGATTGATGTGATTAGAGATGAAACAAAAATCGAGTTTGACTTGGAACGCACACCTCTTCAAATAAAGACGATCCAAGGAAAGGACGTTATAAGTGTGTGGTTCTACGACGAAAGTGGTGCCAGTTCGGGAAAGATCTTCCTTAGGGGACTGAAATCTTCCTCAGTCTCCCTTTTTCCCCCAAGATACGAACTTTACGACTGTATGCCGACACAGAACTTGCCCCATCATTTTGTGCTGCCAATTGATAGTGATACTGTGTGGACCATCACAAAGAAGTTCCCAGGACCAAGAATAACTGTGCAGTGTAACGAGGTAACAGTAGTGGACGTCACGATGTCAGATGAGGTGTGTACAACTACATACTGGAATACACCGTGGAGTAAAGATGTGTCGAAGATAAAGTTCCATCCCACGCTAGACACTGCCTCCAAGTACTACAGACCTAAACCACTAGGTACAAAACGGCTGACCAATTCTTGAATTCTTTATGATTTAATAATAAACGTAAAACGTATCACCAAAAAGACGTTCTTGGTAAACTAGATAGTTAAGACAATGAAGCAACACATAGCTTGAGGATGATAGCGATGCTTTGCTTTAATTTCGAGGGTAGATTATAGGAAGATTACCAGTTCCACTCTATAGTTCTCCTATGATGGCAAACAAATCTAATCTTCACAACTGTTTCAGTGCAATGTGACGCTCTGACGGTGGATAACGCCTTCATCTCACCAAGTGGACCAGTCAATGTTAACACTGTCGTAACTATCACGTGCTCGGAACCCGGGGAGTACGCTTTTCCTTCGTTAGTCACGTGTCAGACTGAGGGAGTTTGGCAAGCTATTCCGACATGTAGAAAATGCGGTATGTACTACTACTATGATATTAGTTATACAGACTACTATTATATAAAGATATAACATTACTATTATATTATGTATGTATATACGTCATACATTGTAATATGTAGTTTTATATTTTTATTTCAAGGATTCAAGTGGGGTTTATGATGACTTGACATGACACAGTAAAACTATATTGTGGTTATGTATGACAATTATACGCACAATATGACATACAGTTACTACTTCAACAATTGACAACAGGTGAGTACCTTGTTAGTGTTAAAATTGTGTTAATTTGGGCAAAATTAACACAATTTTACAATATTACGTTATTATCATCATTTATTTATTCTAAACCTCAAATTGAGAATTCCTTTAATTATTATTAAAGCAAGCTTCTAAATTCGGGATAGCCTGTGGCAGACAACGCCCGATTCTAATGCTTCTACAGACCTACACAATCTAGGTAAACTAGGTATAGGTAAAAATATAATATTAATCATAAGCTAAAATGTACTAATCTTTGTATTCTAAATGGGGAAAAAGAAGAAACATTGTCAGTCAGTCGAGATAATTGTCAGTCAGGCTATATGGCAGCTTTGTAGATGTTGTGACTATGCTAGTAGTGGTCCCAGGCTTGCGACTGGAATTGCGGTGTTAAATCGATTTAATGGTATACCAACGATCCACCTCCCACTTGTTGTTTGGTACTTAGCATTAGTGCAAGTAAGTAAATAAATATTTCATGTTAGGCATGTGAGCATGTGGCAGTTGGCACCCATTACGGTAAGTGTAACCATCCATTGAAGTTTTTGCTTTTCGCTGTACTAATATTACATTGCACAGCGGTTCTTTTGCGACAGTCAAAACGCGACAACTAGCGCTGGATGGCGACAACTAGCGCTATCCAGCGCTAGTTGTCGCCATCCAGCGCTAGTTGTCGCTATCCAGCGCTGGATAACGCTGGCCAGCGCAAAATATATATGTTCGATAATTGTCGCTATCCAGCGCTAGTTGTCGCCATCCAGCACTAGTTGTCGCCATCCAGCGCTAGTTGTCGCTATCCAGCGCTAGTTGTCGCTGGCTATGCGACACTGTCGCACGCGACAGTTTGCGATGACCAGCGCAACTGGCCATCGCAGAAAACAGTTCGATAACTAGCGCTGGATAGCGACAACTAGCGCTGGATAGCGCTAGCCAGCGCTAGCCAGCGCTGGCCAGCGCTAGCTGACGAGTAATTTCAGTAATATCGCAACTATATTGCGCTGGCCAGCGCTGGCAGACGAGTAATACTAATATCGAGCGTGCTAAATCACTCTACAGTCGATCTTCGAGATTGTTCTAAAAGGGCCCACGATGGTTGTAACCAACTTGAAACTTCAATCGATGTATTTTCGGACGCTAATTCCGAATCAACGGATTCCCCCCCATGGGCCCATGACATAGGGTTAAAATGCTCTGATCCTGACGAGATATTGGCGAAAAACTGTACAGGTATCGATCACGTAATATGACCGTATAAGGAAGTTAGTCTAATTTCTCGTTATTGTCAGGGTTTCAGCATATGTTTTTGTTATTGGGTTAAGGTTAGGGTTAGGGTTTGGATCAAATTAGAGGGTTAGGGTTTCGAAAAGTCGTTCAGAACCAGCTAGAGTCAGAGAATGGGTTAAAAAGTCACGTGACAGTCGAGTGTAAAGTGATTAATCATCATCCGAGTAATATTAGGTAGTGCGCCATTGACAGTGAGCCGCGCGTGCCGACTGTAGGATGGTTTTTTAGCGCTAATTTCGGCCAGCACAATTTTCTTCAAACAAATAGATATTAAGTATCTTTCCCGACCTCTGATTGCAACAAAGCTTACTCATAAACTTACAAGGAAAGTGTCCGAAAAGTTTAAAGCATATCCAACCATCAGACATTATGTTACAGCTAAAAGCAGCGTATTTTGCCCCATTTTGATCACTATATCAACTCTGATATCCACCAAATTTTTCGGACAGTTGTGAAAGCTCTATTGGAAGGTCGTCGCCAATTTTCAGAATGATCTCATTCAAGGAACTGAAGATATATCCAAATAATACGACAAAAATCAACGAATTTGGTCAAATTTGGTCAAATTACGCAACTTTTACAGCTAATTTTGCTCCAAAAGCCGCGCACCATCAAATATGGCACCTAGGCGAAACTCACTAGTCACTGATCTTTCCAAAAAGGTATGACAAATTTGGTATTGTGAAAATTCTCACAGTCTCTAGAAAACAATGGTACACAAATTTTTAAAATCCGAGCAAGTTTATTTTTATGGTGCACCCCCTAGTAATATATGATTTTGATACATTGCGCTGGCTAGCGCTGGCTACCGCTGGCTAACGCTGGCTAGCGCTGGCTAGCGCTGGCTAGCGCTGGATAGCGACAACTAGCGCTGGCTAGCGCTGGATAGCGACAACTAGCGCTGGCTAGCGCTGGATAGCGACAACTAGCGCTGGCTAACGCTGGCCAGCGCTGGCCAGCGCTAGTTGTCGCCATCCAGCGCTAGTTGTCGCTGGCTATGCGACACTGTCGCACGCGATAGTTTGCGATGGCCAGCGCAACTGGCCATCGCAGAAAACAGTTCGATAACTAGCGCTGGATAGCGACAACTAGCGCTGGATAGCGACAACTAGCGCTGGATGGCGACAACTAGCACTGGATGGCGACAACTAGCGCTGGATAGCGACAATTATTATTAACCCTCTCCTTCATTTAATTTGAATAACTTTTATAATCTAAGTTTGAGAGATGTAAGCGGTGACACTAATTTCGTACACCGCATATGCAGATGAAAACAAGTTTTTTTTCAATTGATACCCTTATATCACTGATTTAGATTTGATGAGCACTGCGACAACTAGCTAGTAGCTCCGCCGGTTCTTTTGCGATAGTCAAAACGCGACAACTAGCGCTGGATGGCGACAACTAGCGCTATCCAGCGCTAGTTGTCGCCATCCAGCGCTAGTTGTCGCTATCCAGCGCTGGATAACGCTGGCCAGCGCAAAATATATATGTTCGATAATTGTCGCTATCCAGCGCTAGTTGTCGCCATCCAGCGGTAGTTGTCGCCATCCAGCGCTAGTTGTCGCTATCCAGCGCTAGTTGTCGCTGGCTATGCGACACTGTCGCACGCGATAGTTTGCGATGGCCAGCGCAACTGGCCATCGCAGAAAACAGTTCGATAACTAGCGCTGGATAGCGACAACTAGCGCTGGATAGCGACAACTAGCGCTGGCCAGCGCTAAGCGATAGCCAGCGCTGGCCAGCGCTGGCCATCGATATCCAGCGCAAAATTTTTGCGCTATTACTCGTCAGCTAGCGCTGGCCAGCGCTGGCCAGCGCTGGCCAGCGCTAGCCAGCGCTAACCATCGCTAGCCAGCGCTAACCATCGCTAGCCAGCGCTAACCAGCGCTAGCCAGCGCTGGCCAGCGCTAGCTGACGAGTAATATCGCAACTATATTGCGCTGGCCAGCGCTGGCTGACGAGTAATACAAATTCCGAGCATGCTAAATCACTCTACAGTCGATCTTCGAGATTGTTCTAAAAGGACCCCCAACAGTTGTAATTAACTTCAATCGATGTATTTTCGGACGCTGATTCCGAATCACCCCCCCCCCCCCCCCCCCCATGACATAGGGGTAAAATGCTCCCCTGACGAGATATTGGCGAAAAACTGTACATGTATCGATCACGTGATATGACCGTATAAGGAAGTTAGTCTAATTTCTCGTTATTGTTAGGGTTTCAGCATATGTTTTTGTTAAGGATTGGGTTAGGGTTAGGGTTGGGATCAGATTAGAGGGTTAAGGTTTCGAAAAGTCGTTCAGAACCAGCTAGAGTCAGAGAATGGGTTAAAAAAGTCACGTGACAGTCGAGTGTAAAGTGATTAATCATTATCCGACTAATATCGCAAGTATATGATTTTGATACATTGCGCTGGCTAGCGCTGGCTAGCGCTGGCTAGCGCTGGCTAGCGCTGGCTAACGCTGGCTAGCGCTGGATAGCGACAACTAGCGCTGGCTAGCGATGGTTAGCGCTGGCTAGCGCTAGCTGACGAGTAATAGCGCAAAAATTTTGCGCTGGATATCGATGGCCAGCGCTGGCCAGCGCTGGCTATCGCTTAGCGCTGGCCAGCGCTGGCCAGCGCTAGTTGTCGCTATCCAGCGCTAGTTGTCGCTATCCAGCGCTAGTTATCGAACTGTTTTCTGCGATGGCCAGTTGCGCTGGCCATCGCAAACTATCGCGTGCGACAGTGTCGCATAGCCAGCGACAACTAGCGCTGGATAGCGACAACTAGCGCTGGATGGCGACAACTAGCGCTGGATGGCGACAACTAGCGCTGGATAGCGACAATTATCGAACATATATATTTTGCGCTGGCCAGCGTTATCCAGCGCTGGATAGCGACAACTAGCGCTGGATGGCGACAACTAGCGCTGGATAGCCTTAGTTGTCGCCATCCAGCGCTAGTTGTCGCGTTTTGACTATCGCAAAAGAACCGCTCCGCCAAATTCGTACATCGGTGCGGTTTTATAGTCGATGAAAATTAAATTATTAAATCAATGGTATTTGATTTCGCAAAACTTCTTCATGATTTTCACTAGATTCGGTCGAGGAAACGTTTCCAAACCCTGACTCCTGACTCCTGACTCCTGACTCCTGACTCCTGACTCCTGACTCCTGACTCCTGACTCCTGACTCCTGACTCCTGACTCCTGACTCCTGACTCCTGACTCCTGACTCCTGACTCCTGACTCCTGACTCCTGACTCCTGACTCCTGACTCCTGACTCCTGACTCCTGACTCCTGACTCCTGACTCCTGACTCCTGACTCCTGACTCCTGACTCCTGACTCCTGACTCCTGACTCCTGACTCCTGACTCCTGACTCCTGACTCCTGACTCCTGACTCCTGATCCCTATGAGAGGTAAGATATATAAAATGATATGTAGTATAATTCTACACATGCACCTATTTGTTTTCTGTTATACCTGTAAGTAACACAGACTGTATAGTACCTTCTCATATTACATTTTACAGCAATATTAACTTCCTTATAAATATCTCCGGGATTTCGACGCGGGATCATATTATCACTCAGCCCGGCCCGCTGTTAGATAAACATCTCAAGGTGATATCATCCCGCCCCGGAAATTTGTATAAACCCGGCCCGCTTTTTAGTCGTAACTGATGTTTATCATTCAATTCTCCGACTTACAATAATCAATGATACTGCTGATTAGAACTCGATAATAGTAGAACAGTTAGACGCGCGATCACGTGGGCGCGTCACGTGCGTACCACGTGCCACCAATAGCATACGCCGAGTCTATACCACGTGACACGAAAGCGCACCACGTGATATGAAACATCGTAACCGTCCACTTCTTTTACACGCAAATTCCTGGGAACGTTGCCAAAGCAGCCAATTCTTGGAATTTCTCCAACGCGTGGCGTGAGAAGTTGGCGACTAGCCAGCTACCCTTGTCCGTGCCCTAAAAATAGTATTGTTTTGCTTGCTCTCCTTCCAGCTCTTGTTCCTTGTTCAAGCTATTGCTCCACTATGACAGATCGGTTTGACATTCAGATTGATGAACTGCTTTCCAATCGTGTTCCGGACAGTACAGTTAGAGTCAACAACTGGGCTCTAAACAAATTTAATTCTTGGCTTCAGTCATCCAGATTTGCTCGTGACTTCAATGACTTTGACCAAATTCCTGTTCAACGACTCAACTACATTTTAGAGTGCTTTCTTGTTTCTGTTGGATTTGACTTGAAGATGAAGACTATGTATTCTGTATAAATCCCTTGTCGAAATCGCCGGAGATAATTATAATCCATAAACACTTCACGCTCAGGGCTAAATAAATGTAATCCCTCAGCTGGCGCTTCGGGATTACATATTAACACAAAACTCGTGCGCTGCGCGCACTCGTATGTGTTTATCAGATCATCCCGCTAGCGCGGGATGATCTGTTATATAAACCCTTTGCGTGGCGGGTTTATGTTATTATTCACATTGTCATGTATACCTGTATTTGTATTAATTACTTATTAATGTTAGCTGGTGTTGTAACCTTGATCCTATTGTCTCCTTGGGGAGATTGCAGTATATAAATCTCCCGAATCTCCGTTGCTATGGGGATATGCCATCACTCATTTTCGACTTTTGGGTTTTCTTGAATCAAATTTGTGCCCGCTGTACCTCGTGCAAATTAAGCTAGCTCTAAATAAATTTTAGGCTCCTCCAAATGAATTATAACTTGGCTGAATTTATCGGTTGTAGTGATAACTAACGTGTTTTGTATAGTTTTGACTTTTGACTTTGTTGTTTATACCATAACTACATGATAAAATAAAGCATTTAAATAATAATAGCAGTTTAGAAAGGTCCACTACCGGTAAACAGCATGATACTTATTACATCAGACTCGCTAACAAACGTGAACCACTGCGTGATCTAAGTGGCGGCTCTTCAGGCAGACTATCTGCTAATACCTTATCTTATCTTTTGGCTGTTTATATCGGGTTACCTGCCGTGAGCATTACCAGCTGGCTGCAATACTACACTTTGTTTTCTAGCTGACCTCATTGATTTTAGGCATTGGCATTTTTTGGTTTTTCACTTTTTTGTTTTCTATTCAAATGATAGCAACATTATGAATTAGTTAAGGAAGAAATCATTATGTTTATCATTTTTTCCTCTCACATAAACATTAAGATTTAATGTCTCGATAAAAAGTTTTATTGATGCAACCTGAAACACAGTAGGAAAAATTATGAGACGCTAAACTTTAAGACTTTTCTCCCCAGCACCCCGGCCTTATATCATTATTTATTTGTTTATCGTCGCATTGATATATTAAGGGGAGACGTTTCGTAAATATGTTCCAAAAAGAGGAGACGCATGAATTGTACTCTTTATTGCTTTACCTTACTATTATATAATACCTGTCGATTAGAGTGATGAAGGTGGTGTACTGCCTGGTAACCCTGGTAACCCTGGTTGCACTGCACGGAGACGCTGTTTCAGTCTCAAGGGATCAACCTGCTGCTGTTGTTAAAGAAAACAGGTATAGTGACCTCATATCGTTCTTACTGTAGTTATATTGATATTATCTACTAATAATTGAACTCGATTGATGGGAAGGTGTATATTTAATCAACTAAACAGAACATTAACTTGCATTATAGATTTTAATCAACTAAATTAAACAATAAATTAAACCAATTTCAAGTTGAAAACTATTCATATGATCCATCACTCTTGCCAGCTTCAGCGAGGACAACCCACTAGAGATACTCTTTGACACTCTAATGAAGGACTTGGTAGGGCTCTTTAGTGACACTGAGGACAAAAAAGACAGTCAGGACAGTGAGGACAGAGCTCGTTATCATGATGGTCTGGAAGCTAAATGCCCTGCGGGCACGTTTTACAACAATACTTCTAAAAAATGTGAAGCATGTTTACCTGGAACATACAGGTTTACAGTTCACATTTAATCTTTTTAGTAGCTTCGTTTTAAAGTTCTAATTGTTCAATTTCAGGTAACTGGTAAACATATTTGTTATATTTTATAACCATATATTAATCATGTGCACGTTATTTTCAGTCAAGCAAATGCAGACGAGTGTACTCCATGTGCTGAGGGAACGTACAACGACATTGAACAGCAGGGATCATGCAAATCTTGTGATGCTGGAACATTCGCGTAAGTTTGTGATTCAATTATAAGTGAACATCACGCGGTGCAGTCCAAAATTTTAATAACATTTTTGAAAACAATCAGCGTCTATATCTTCGCGTGTGAAAATCTGTTGTATTGTTTGGTCAAAATTGATTATATTTCGGAGCAACGGTTCAACGTTTATTATGGGAGATAAGATGTGAATATAAATTGTTTTTCAGCAACAATACAGGATCTACGGTATGTTTGAATTGTGGACCAGGAACATTTACTGACGGCACCAAATCCACTAATTGCACTGCATGCAAAGCTGGACAATACAGGTAAACTTACTAAATACAGGTAAACTACAGGACAATACAGGTAAACTTACAAAGTTGCTAAAAATTACACTTTAAACTACTACCTCCTACAAGAAGCATTCTTATTAGGATGAAACCTAACCTAGGAGATTCCTGCATTTCGACTACAACCAAAATATCGGATAAATCCTTTTAGCTAGTTCCTTATTTTCATAATTTCAGTATTCCCAACCACACTGACTGCAGAAAGTGCGGACCTGGGACCTTCAGCGATAAACCTTTAGACACATGTACACCTTGTCCTAAAGATACAATCAGGTAATATAATATTATAAAATACTTTCAAATGTCATTGATTGGTACTGTCTTTACTACTTCACTAATAACAACCAGATCCCAAGCTCTAAAACTTAAATTAGGAGGTTTAATGAACGAAACAAAATTAAATGTCCGTTTTCAGCAATATCTGAACAATGCATGATGTAAACTCCGTATTTTAAAGTTGTAAGGTATATCTCTGCACGAACAAGTAACATGTAATTTCAATATCCTATAGTGGTCCAGGAGCCACTAAATGCACTGGATGTGGTCCAGACACACACCCTGATGAACCAAAACAGCAATGTATAACTGACCCCATTTGTTACCCGGGAGAGCATAGGGACACTGACGGTAGCTGTGCTAGTTGTCCCGCTGGATCTTTCAGGTATAGTAAGGATTATTACAGTTTAATATAGGATTATCTTCTAATCAAACCTTTAATCGGAGTAGTAGAATTATGAAATTATTCTCACTTGAAAGATAATAACTTTAATCACAATTCCAATTATTATTCACCAAGTTGTTAATGATATTTTACTTACACAAATCATCATCGAATAATGATCCGGTGCCCCCTACAGCACTGCAATAAACTCAACATCCTGTACACCATGTGCAGTAGGACACTACAACTCCGAGACTAACCAGACAACTTGTTTGGAGTGCTCCCCTGGATCCTTCTCCAACGCTACAGGTTTCACATAGCCGCGCGCTACTGCAAGTTATAGCAACCACAGGTTATACTTACCTTGTTTGACATTATCGGACTTTATTTGACCGGACATTGCGTGAACGGATATAATTGTAAACGGACATTAAAATGAACGCTCGAGCCATCGAGCGTGATCAACATTTAATTTAACTACATTATCGGCCTTTATTTGAACGGACATTAAAATGAACGCTATAAGGCCTCCAACGTCCAATTAATTTCTGTTCAAATAAATTCCGATAAGGTAGGTTTATTTTACCTCATCTCTCAAGCTAATTCTACTGTCTGTTTTCCGAATTGCACCACAGTTATATACTTAAACTCCCTAAAGTTTATCAATAAACTGACTATAACTACAGGGTCGACTACCTGTGAGGGATGTGTGTGTTTGTGTGTGTGTGTGTGTGTGTGTTTGTGTGTGTGTGTGTGTGTGTGTGTGTGTGTGTGTGTGTATGTGTGTGTGTTTGTGTGTGTGTGTGTGTGTGTGTGTGTGTGTTTGTGTGTGTGTGTGTGTGTGTGTGTGTGTGTTTGTGTGTGTGTGTGTGTGTGTGTGTGTTTGTGTGTGTGTGTGTGTGTGTGTGTGTGTGTGTGTGTGTGTGTGTGTGTGTGTGTGTGTGTGTGTGTGTGTGTGTTTGTGTGTGTGTGTGTGTGTGTGTGTGTGTGTGTGTGTGTGTGTGTGTGTGTGTGTGTGTGTGTGTGTGTGTGTGTGTGTGTGTGTGTGTGTGTGTGTGTGTGTGTGTGTGTGTGTGTGTGTGTGTGTGTGTGTGTGTGTGTGTGTGTGTGTGTGTGTGTGTGTGTGTGTGTGTGTGTGTGTGTGTGTGTGTACTGACACACACACAGTAATAAACTGATTATAACTACAGGGTCGACTACCTGTGAGGGATGTGTAGCAGGACAGTACAACTCTAACAACGGTTCTACTGACTGCTCTGACTGTTCTGCTGGTACCTTCTCCTCTGGGAACGCTACTGTTTGTACTGCCTGCCCCGCAGGTACATTACGAACGAGTTAATCTTCACGATGTACATTTGTGAAAAGATTGGAAGCAATGATTTTTCAAACTAATCAAATTTATTATTTATTTTCGTTTTTTCTCAATAATAGGGCCAGGGGACGTTAAATTTTCAGCTTTAGGCGTTGATCTGTCATATAATTATACATATATCACTTTTCAGGACAATTTAATTCTGTCAACAGTTCTGCTGTATGCACGGCTTGTGATATCGGTTCTTCTACTAACAATGAAACTGGTTCTACAAAGTGCAACGCTTGCAAACCAGGCAGTTTCTCAGGAACACCAGGTTTAATCAGACTTCAGCATAACGACTACTATTTGATGCAGCTCTTGTCAATTAAGCTTTCATTTAGGATATTATAATTAGTGGTCAAAAATTGGTTGCTTTAGATAACAATTAATCGTATCAACTAATTAAAAACAATTATTAAAGTATATGTGAACACCCTGTCAATCATTTTCCCGTTAGTGACGAAAAATAAATAAAATTTTAAACATATCCATATATTTATGTATTCATTTATTATTATGTATTTTCTAATAATTTTTCTACTTAGGGTCAGCTACTTGTACTTCCTGTGCGGCGGGATCTTCACAGGACAAGAAGGGACAAGCAAACTGTACATTTTGTATACCCGGTTCATCGTCACCTAAAGAAGGAGCCAAAACTTGCGCGGCTTGCGAGGCTGGCACATTCTCAAATACTACAGGTAACTGTTTACAGTATTGATCTTAAGATATTGTATATATTTCTATGGCAAAATTTTAAATATAAAGGTTCTTTTCCTCGTTGGTTCTCCAAAAATGTCATCATATTAAAAGGAAAACACCCTGATGTATATATTATTATGTTAGATACATGAGTAAGAACCTCACACATATTTGTTCGCAGGCTCGATAATGTGTACTAAATGTGCAGCCGGCTCAGCCCGGAACACCACAGCCGCTACTGCATGTATCACGTGTACAGCAGGCTCCTTTTCTCCTACTGAAGGAGCTATAGTATGTACTGACTGCAGCGCTGGTACCTTCTCAAATGAAACAGGTAACTATAATGCTTTTGGACACGAAGGGAAACACGCAACGTAAGGTTTGAAATCTTCGTAAAACTACATCATTAGAGCCTGTAAAAACATTTAACTTCAAGATAAGCACTCTATCAAGTAAAAATCATATATAATCATCATAGTTTATTAACTCAAATTATATGTAACTTAAATAGGTAACTGTCAGATATCATACTATGAAACTATCTGTTGTATCCAATGATTTTAAGTCCTTGATAGTCCTGAGGATAAGTCCTCAAACCGAATAAGATTGCATTAAGATTATATTTTGTATACAGACTTAAACAAAATTAAAAGAAATGACGATAGTGTTATCATATTCAATTTAATTTTTTATTCAACAAACTTTTTAATATTTATTTTGAATAGTTTAATTATTGTATGTTTTGAGATATTTTGGGAGTAAATACTCCAACACTGCCCCTGGAAGATCGCCATCCCCGGTTTTAAGTTGTTTCTAAATCTACAGAGGAGTAGCTGAGCGATCTCAAATTTATTTTTTGCTGTATGTACACTCTGTATAATTTATTTCGGGGTGTGCACCTCACCTAAATATCCTTACCCAGGGTCCACAGTGTGCAGCAACTGCTCAGCAGGTTCAGCACAGAATAACACAGCAGCTACAAGCTGTGACTCGTGTTCTCCGGGGTCTTTCTCTGGGGAAGCAGCCAAACTCTGTACTGACTGTACTGCTGGAACTTATGCTGAAAAATCAGGTTTAATATGGATTGTTCAAACTAAAACATTCACATATTTGTATTACATCAAATCGATTTTAACACAGTACTAAAGGTGGTTCTGGAAGCATAACTGATTGAGTTCTGGAGAACAGTAGAACACTTTAATTGATAATTTAGAAATGTTTCTAAACCAGACTTTGTTGAGTAAACTCACCTCCTCCCACCAGGATCTCTAAAATGTGATAACTGTGCGGCTGGCTCCTTCCAGAACTCAACAGGGGCTGTGAACTGTAGTGTCTGCAGTGCAGGTTCCTTCTCAGTAGAGGCATCCCCCCTCTGTACTCCGTGTCACGCAGGTATTCCAGAGATAAGCTTATTAATTTTTTAAATAATTAACTAATCGTCGCTAAGATTATCATTTTGTTTTTTATCTAATTTAAGTTAGGCGAAAGGAAACCGCTGCGGCAAATCGGGGTTTTGTTAGTATACATTGTGCATGTTAAGCCCTATTTGGGGGAAGGAAATGGCCGCGGTAAATCTGGGTTTGTGGTAAATCGGGGCGCGGTAAATCGGGGTTAACTGTACTTGTATTGAATTCCTTATACTCTGTGTCATTCAGGGCAGTATGCTGGTACCTCTGGATCTGTTAACTGCAGTGCCTGTGCTTTGGGGAGGTCTACTGATGGGAACGCGGGTGCTACTAAGTGCGATGATTGTGTAGCTGGTAGGTGGTGTGGTGGTGTTGTGTTTGTTCATTGTACTGATGCTGCATTTGGAAATATATGAAATATCCAGCTGATTCTATTTAAGCATTTGGATAGATATTAATGCTACTCTTTAAAAAACTATAAAACACCTACATGGCTATGCATTAACTTAAATCTCAGCATTACACTAAAGTCACAATATATTAAATCACTCATGAATGTCTACAGGAAAGTTTGCAAACGTAACAGGATCCCCGATATGTGCTTCTTGCCCTGTTGGTTCCTCAACTGGAAATAGCACTGGAGCCACTGTGTGCGAGATTTGTTCTGCTGGTAAGTTTATATTTCGTCCTGTTAAACTTAGCGGGGTTTTCGTCGAGTTTGAGTTTCTGTTACCCATTTTAAAACTTTACAAATAAACCCAGCACTTTCCCATACGCATGATCTCCAACCGATTACCGTAGCTCATAATATCCTAATCCTTAATCCTAGTTCAAATAGTCAGTGGTAAAATCGATGACACGTTTATTCTTTTCCTCGAAAATATATCTTAAGATCAAATTCATATCCGCAGGAAAGTTTTCAAATAGCACAGGGTCAGCCATTTGTACAGCATGTCAAGCCGGTTCATCAACACTAAACATCACCGGGTCTGACAGCTGTTCTCTCTGTAGACCAGGCAGCTTTAGCAGCGATGATGGTAGGGACTTTGCTTATCTCTTTATCTACTTCTTATGTATTATTTGATTTGATATAGAACTTAAAGTTTTAGTTTCAAGTATCAACTTATCAATTAAATTGGAAGCTGATTCCCACATGTATGATGCAGGTGATAATACTTTTGTCCTGGATTATAATATCACGATATCTCTACCAGCTACCTATAAACATTAACCTAGTTGCCCAACAGGATCAGCAGTGTGCTCGGTGTGTCCGGGAGGACAATACTCCGATAAGAACGGTACCACCACCTGCAGCTTGTGTGCAGCCGGTAACTACTCCGATCCGAACGCCACCGTGTGTAACATGTGCACTCCAGGACTGTTTAGTAACACCACAGGGTCCGCAGAGTGTACTAAATGTGCTGCTGGGTCCTCTACTGAGTCACTCCGAGGATCAACTAACTGCACGCTGTGCACTGCTGGTAAAACTTAACTCTTATTTTAGTAATGTTAAGCTAATCAACTAACTGCACGCTGTGCACTGCCGGTAAAACTTAACTCTTCTTTTCGTAATGTTAAGCTAATCAACTAACTGCACGCTGTGCACTGCCGGTAAAACTTAACTCTTATTTTAGTAATGTTAAGCTAATCAACTAACTGCACGCTGTGCACTGCCGGTAAAACTTAACTCTTATTTTAGTAATGTTAAGCTAATCAACTAACTGCACGCTGTGCACTGCCGGTAAAACTTAACTCTTATTTTAGTAATGTTAAGCTAATCAACTAACTGCACGCTGTGCACTGCCGGTAAAACTTAACTCTTATTTTAGTAATGTTAAGCTAATCAACTAACTGCACGCTGTGCACTGCCGGTAAAACTTAACTCTTATTTTAGTAATGTTAAGCTAATCAACTAACTGCACGCTGTGCACTGCCGGTAAAACTTAACTCTTATTTTAGTAATGTTAAGCTAATCAACTAACTGCACGCTGTGCACTGCCGGTAAAACTTAACTCTTATTTTATTAATGTTAAGCTAATCAACTAACTGCACGCTGTGCACTGCCGGTAAAACTTAACTCTTATTTTATTAATGTTAAGCTAATCAACTAACTGCACGCTGTGCACTGCCGGTAAAACTTAACTCTTATTTTAGTAATGTTAAGCTAATCAACTAACTGCACGCTGTGCACTGCCGGTAAAACTTAACTCTTATTTTAGTAATGTTAAGCTAATCAACTAACTGCACGCTGTGCACTGCCGGTAAAACTTAACTCTTATTTTATTAATGTTAAGCTAATCAACTAACTGCACGCTGTGCACTGCCGGTAAAACTTAACTCTTATTTTAGTAATGTTAAGCTAATCAACTAACTGCACGCTGTGCACTGCCGGTAAAACTTAACTCTTATTTTAGTAATGTTAAGCTAATCAACTAACTGCACGCTGTGCACTGCCGGTAAAACTTAACTCTTATTTTAGTAATGTTAAGCTAATCAACTAACTGCACGCTGTGCACTGCCGGTAAAACTTAACTCTTCTTTTCGTAATGTTAAGCTAATCAACTAACTGCACGCTGTGCACTGCCGGTAAAACTTAACTCTTATTTTAGTAATGTTAAGCTAATCAACTAACTGCACGCTGTGCACTGCCGGTAAAACTTAACTCTTCTTTTAGTAATGTTAAGGTACTCTTTGTTCCCCTGGAGTAAATTAAATAAGTTTTTCGTATGAATTTAAAATTTATTAATGCATGCCAACAAAATGTTACCAATTACCATATACAACCTTTTCTTCGTTTTATTCCGAGCATAGTTAATGTAAAAGTTAGATACTTCCTGTCTAATAACTTAATAATACTTTTCAGGTCACTTTGCCGCACGTGCCGGATCCCCCTCGTGCGATCCCTGTGCTGTAGGAACCTCCACAGAAGACAAAGCTGGAGCTGATAAGTGTCCTCTATGTAAGGCAGGGTTCTTTGCTGAGGACACTGGTTCTTCTAGTTGTGATTCTTGTCCTGCTGGTCAGTAAAAAGTGGCCGACATTTTGTCATGAGAATTTCATGACAAAGTCTCGGCTTAAGTACTAAATTTGTTTTTCAACCAGTCAGTAATGACCAAATAGAGTACTCCTAAAAAGAGGTACCATGCGTCTCCCTCTCAAGTATTTCAGATAAGGTTTAATGGCCAATGAAATGAAATGAAGTATTCATATCCCGCTTATATGATTAACCAACAACACAAGGAAGGTGGTTAAGAGCGGCTGACTGTGAGTGAAAGTGAACAAAAGTGTCACTCAATAAAACATCTCATTTACACCTCACTCCCAGGTTCCTACTCGGACTCAGCAGGATCTTCTGTCTGTACGGTCTGTGCAGCTGGAACCGTCTCCGCAGCACCTGCATCAGTAACATGCTCTCTTTGTGCTGCTGGTACTACCTCTCCTGTTAACTCTACTGCTTGTACTGATTGTGGGGCTGGTAGTTTCGCTGATAAGGCTGGGTCTCCTGAGTGTAGTCCTTGTGCTGCTGGTGAGCTTATTTTAATCTTAGCATCAGCACTCATGATAGAATGGTGTAATCTATCACATTCAATAAATCACGCATAATTTCATTATGGCGATTACCTTTAACAAGTACTATGATATAAACAGGTAGTTACGCAGACAAAACAGGGAGTGTGGACTGTACCGACTGTGTACCAGGATCCTATCAGGACCAGACAGGACAGACTGTGTGCGCTCTCTGTGCACAAGGATCTTATCAGGATAAGAAAGGTAACATGCCGAATCTTGTGTTTTGTTTCTGATAACATGATATCACCATGATGACATAAAGTCATTATTTTTTTTAAATATATATATTTCTAAATAAATACCATTCAAATCTGACACGTGTGGCCACTGAAACATCATACAAGACGCATTTCAAAAGAGTTTGCCATAGTTGAATGCATTTCACTCATTCATCTGATAAGAAAGTGCAGTATCTGAATACTAATCTCTATAACTGTCCTATTAGGAGGTGCAGTATGTAAATCATGTGCTAACAGCAGAACTTACACTACCTACAAAACTGGTTCAATATCAGAGGATGCTTGTCAAGGACCACTACTCAACTACACCATAACTGGTACGAGTTCTAAACTCTCGGTTAACCTTGCAGACGTCTTATCTATAACCTTGATAATGAGATAATGAACTCGCTTTCATCATGTTAACGAAGGCAAATCATTATCTCAATCTTTTTGGCTATGTTTTGTCAATGTAACAAATCCTATAACTATGATGTTTGCTTAGGTAAAGTAAGCCAGTTGACAGACAATGCAACTGTAACAGTGCCCGAGTCCTCTACTCTGGTACTCACCGCAGTCAGTGGTAACTGGGTTGCAAGGAATCCTAGCAATCCTTACACTGAGACCGTCTTCTTGATGCAGGTGCAAACAATTCTGCAAAAGTTTATTCGTTAATAATTGGCCGATTTGATACAATTTCTGAGTTTATGTTTAAAAGGAAAAAAAATTGTTTACAAATTCTGAAATAAATTTATCATTTGTTACTTTAAATGATAAAAACGCCACCTGAATGAAATAAGTAAGTAACAAATATCACCAGGGAGACAAAAAGACTCTAAAAGGGCCAAAAGTGATACTGGAACCCATGATGACAAACATATTCTGTTACAAGGATACCGAGGGGCATGGAGCACGGTTTGCTGGATATCAGGACAAGGACATCAAGGGTGAGCCACTATACTATAGTCAACTATATGAATATCTCCCAAACCTTTAATAAGCGAACATTTAGAAAGTGGAGACATGATAGGCAACGATTATCTCACTTAAGTAACATCCAATCGTTCACAGGAAGACAATGCGAGAGCCCTTGTCGTAACACAGAAAGTCTGCCAATCGGGCCACATTGCCAAGTACAGAACGAAACCTCCCCTTGTGGGATACCTCAGTGTATCTGGGACGTGGAGTGTTCTGCAGGGGATGGGACAGGGTATAGGGGTCTAGTTAATAAGGCTACTTTAGAGGGAGGCAGATCTGCTACATGTCAGGTGATAAAATAAAACTTTGCATTTGTAACATGGATACTATTAATAACATTGTTTAAACAGTGAGCATTTTGATGTATTCAGGAAAAAGAAACACCGGATTATAAACATTTATATTGTGAACTATGAAGTTTAATACGATTATATTTCAGCGTTGGGATAAAGACTATCCTCATGTTCACACCTTCCATCCAACTACATATAACACAGCCAAATACGGAATTGGCAATGATAACTCCTGCAGGTAAAATCTTTATGTCAATTACAGTTAATAATCGTCATCAAAAAGGTTTAAAATTATTCATATATTACTGCAAGACCTCTCTATACCGTGCCTCGATATATAACCAGGCTTCTTCTTTTCTCCCAAAATTCAATATGTTACCTCTTATCCACCACCCAGGAACCCAGACCCCAGGAACATCCAAAAACCTTGGTGTTACACCACTGATCATTGGACCAGGTTTGGGGAATGTTCTGTTCCGGAGTGCGGTGCTGCTTTTGATTACTTCAAACACTGATCAAAGTTAGACGGATTCCGGATTTATAGTTTCAGAGATTTTAATTAAGCTACTCAAATTTCTCATTTTGATTTATCCATTATCAATTAGCTGGACTGAATGGTTTAATGTCAATGGGAGGACTCGAGTTATGAGTAGCATTTTGTATTTGAACAACTTTTTAAGTGCACTTTTGAAGAATGATTTTCTTATCTTTGTCGTAATTTTTGATATTAAAGCAAATTCATATTTTTTGAACCATTTTATTTTTCTATGAAAACAACATTTGAACATTTGGTATATTTTTGATTTTATGTTTTGATACAATGTGAAAATTTGTTGAATGATTATTAATGTCTAGTTATAAAATCATTTTAAATGATATTACAGAAACATAACTGAATTTAAAGAATTGTATCCTTATTTCTGTATCCATACTGATACATAAATTATATCAATTAATGTGAACGCAGTTTCAGATCGTTGCTTAATTCCAGTTTTCAGTAATGCTTCCTGCTTTTCTGCTTTTACTTTCATCATTAATCAATCATTGAAGAAAATTCAGTAAAAACAGTGAAACCTGGGTCGCGGCCGAAAGCTGATACGTAAAATATCCTACCGCACCGGTATTTAATATCCTACCGCGCCAGTAGATCGATCGTGACTTGTCAATGTCATGTTACTCACCATGACTTGTCATGATCAAAAAATGTTAGCCAAACTTATATTTAGGTCCAGGAAAGTGTATACTTTACTCGTTAAGTCGTTATTATAAAATGCGGGTAAAATTAAAAAATAGTTTTAAGCTATCAATTTTCGGTTTCTGAGTCCTAACTTTGCACAGCGTCATTTTCATTTCCAAAATCTCTAACTGAAATGATGTCACGCAATATGTGATAAACGTTAGAACAGGTGTGCATATTATATATCATTAGACTGGCATTCGCTATTAAAAAAGCCCTTCATATTCATAACTCACATCATTAATTCATTATAGAGCCAGGGTGTGCCGGACTGCATATCACAATGCTGGCAAGCATTACCGTCGCCCTTATATTCACAATACTATTTACCCCCTATACTAGTATATCCCCTTTATTGTTTTCCAGGCATTAAGACTCATCGAAAGTAGTTCAGCAGGTATATTTAAGTAAAAAAACATTCTAATTCAATGTTAAAGATGACAGGAATAAGAAATAGTTATGTGGAGGTTTTTAAGAAATTTGAGCAAAATACGCGCCAGCATGTTATACGAAATTAGGTAAAAAACCCAAAATCGCCATATTCAGGTGCCTTAAAAACCATGTTAAAATTGAGTTAGAGATCTGAAACTTTGCAGGGCGTCTAGACCTTGTCCAAATCGACTGTAAAAAAAATTTCTTGTTTCAGGAGTATTGGGAAGTGGGTTTTCTGGAACCCCTGTTTTACAACAGATTGTCGTGAAGTATATATATATATATATATGTATTATGTACAATGAAAACAACGATTCTACAAAATCAGAGTTTCATGCAAATGCAATCATCAGTGTCAGAATACTTACTAAATTAATAAATCCATGTTTTCCTTACAAGCTCCTTCATAAAATTAACTTAACTAAACTAAATCAAAAACAAAATCAAACGAAACGAAACGAAATTGAAACGAAAATGAAATACAAGAACAAAAACTAAAATTAAAATAAAATATTCCTAAAAGCATTTCTTCAGCATAAACTTGTTGGTGTGCCTACATTTACTTATGAGTTCCCTCCTCCTATTTAATAGATTGCCATCTTTATTTAAAATAATATAAAGTTTTTCAGTAAGGCAGAGATGACAATCTTTCGTACCCCCCTTGTACGGATGAGCATGTTTGATTATTTTCCAAGATATTTTATATGGTGTTTGTTTATCTTTCAACTCCCATATTTTCTTAGATAGCTCCGTCTGATTTCGTAGCTTCTCGAGTTTGAAAGAGCTTGTGTGTGAACTGAAACGGGTCTTAAAAGTGTTTTCAGTAAGCCCAATATATTTGTGCTCTTTCTTTTCATTTTCCACTGCAATAGTTGCTTCATATATCACTGCTGCTTCCAGGCATTGTCCGTTCAGTGGGCACATTTCCGGCTTTCTGCAATTGCACGTTTTCGATTTAATTGTAGGTTCTTTCTGAGCTTGGTGTCTGGTGCTCGCTAAGATGGATCCTACGTTGGGTAGGCAACTGTATGATAGCTTAATTGTGTTTCTGTTGAACATTTTGTGAAATTGGTGTCCTCTGGGGAAGTGCTTGTCTAGTAATCGGAGGAAGCTCTTGCCTATGTTTGTTGTTACATTTGAGCTGTATGGGGGGTTGAACCATATGATCTTCCTGGATCTCTTCCTGTTGGCTCGTGGCAAGGCGGTGCTAGTATCTGTAAACTCTAGTTGGTGGTCGTGGCCGCTTTCTTTAAGTGCTGTTCCGTAAATCCCTTTCGCTTTGTCAAACTCTTCTTTATTGCAGGAGATGTCCGATAGACGCCGGTTTATCATTTTGGGGAGCTGGTTTATGATTGTTGGTGGGTGGTTTGACTGCTTGTTGATATATAGCGGTGTGTCATTTGGCTTTCGGAAGGGGAAGTATTTCCCACTGTCAAGATTAAGTGTCACGTCTAGGAAGTCGACTTCAACGAGATTGGTTTCTATTGTGATCTTTAGTCCTTCCTCCTTGAATATAGCCGTGATCTTTTTCCGGATTCGGTCTAGTTTCGGTCCGTTAGCTTGTGGAATGATTGCTAGGCCGTCGTCTCTGTAGAGACCGATTTGGTTGGCTGGAATATACTGCTGGAGTTGGTTGAGCATGTGTACGCCGACAAGTTCACATGTTTCGGCGCCATCATACGATCCCATGGTGACATCAAAATTGCGGTTCTTCTTTTCCCAAACATCGCCGTTATGGAAGAGAAGCGCATTCTTGGCGTGTTTTATAATTTCAATTTCCCTGGAGCTGAGTTCGATGGTCTGCATGGCGAACTGTATGGCTTTATCGAGCAGGTCTTCCGTTATTGAGGGGTAGAACTCAACTACGTCAAACTTCACGAACTTGCTCTTTGTTTCCTTGTTCATCCCGTGGAACCAGTTCAGGACCTCCTTGGTATTTTTCCAGAGGTTGAGGTTTGTGTTGGTGGCCTCCAGCAGTCTGGTGATGGTTTGTTCCAATATCTGCTTGCTGATCTTGCCTAGTTCGTTCTTTGCGGGGTTGATGAGTCGGCATTGCGGTGTGTTCTTGAAGTTGTCCTTGTGATCTTTAAGGGTTATGAAGCATTGCTCCTCCGTGAAACGCTGTACTCGGTCTTCTAATTCCAATGATCGGGCAAGTTTGGCTGAAATTTTGTCGATTTCGTCTTTCTTCCCTGGATTAGCCTTCTTATACGTTTTTGTCACATTTTCGGTTAGGAGTTTATCGTAACGTTCTGTCGACACAAGGTACATATTGGTGGTCTTGTCCGCTGGTACTATGACCTTGCCTGAGTTGCGGAGTTTTTCAAGGTCTTCATCGAGTTTCTGCTGAAAATTGTTTTTCGATTTCGAGAACTCGATGGAGCTTATCAACTCATACATGTCATCCTCAAAAGCATTCAGGTGTTCACTTTGCGGCGGGGTTTTTGATGTTTTGAACCCATACGTTTCCTTCAAGTTTATCTCTTGCTCTTTATTAAATAAAGAGCAAGAGATAAACTTGAAGGAAACAAAAACGTATAAGAAGGCTAATCCAGGGAAGAAAGACGAAATCGACAAAATTTCAGCCAAACTTGCCCGATCATTGGAATTAGAAGACCGAGTACAGCGTTTCACGGAGGAGCAATGCTTCATAACCCTTAAAGATCACAAGGACAACTTCAAGAACACACCGCAATGCCGACTCATCAACCCCGCAAAGAACGAACTAGGCAAGATCAGCAAGCAGATATTGGAACAAACCATCACCAGACTGCTGGAGGCCACCAACACAAACCTCAACCTCTGGAAAAATACCAAGGAGGTCCTGAACTGGTTCCACGGGATGAACAAGGAAACAAAGAGCAAGTTCGTGAAGTTTGACGTAGTTGAGTTCTACCCCTCAATAACGGAAGACCTGCTCGATAAAGCCATACAGTTCGCCATGCAGACCATCGAACTCAGCTCCAGGGAAATTGAAATTATAAAACACGCCAAGAATGCGCTTCTCTTCCATAACGGCGATGTTTGGGAAAAGAAGAACCGCAATTTTGATGTCACCATGGGATCGTATGATGGCGCCGAAACATGTGAACTTGTCGGCGTACACATGCTCAACCAACTCCAGCAGTATATTCCAGCCAACCAAATCGGTCTCTACAGAGACGACGGCCTAGCAATCATTCCACAAGCTAACGGACCGAAACTAGACCGAATCCGGAAAAAGATCACGGCTATATTCAAGGAGGAAGGACTAAAGATCACAATAGAAACCAATCTCGTTGAAGTCGACTTCCTAGACGTGACACTTAATCTTGACAGTTGGAAATACTTCCCCTTCCGAAAGCCAAATGACACACCGCTATATATCAACAAGCAGTCAAACCACCCACCAACAATCATAAACCAGCTCCCCAAAATGATAAACCGGCGTCTATCGGACATCTCCTGCAATAAAGAAGAGTTTGACAAAGCGAAAGGGATTTACGGAACAGCACTTAAAGAAAGCGGCCACGACCACCAACTAGAGTTTACAGATACTAGCACCGCCTTGCCACGAGCCAACAGGAAGAGATCCAGGAAGATCATATGGTTCAACCCCCCATACAGCTCAAATGTAACAACAAACATAGGCAAGAGCTTCCTCCGATTACTAGACAAGCACTTCCCCAGAGGACACCAATTTCACAAAATGTTCAACAGAAACACAATTAAGCTATCATACAGTTGCCTACCCAACGTAGGATCCATCTTAGCGAGCACCAGACACCAAGCTCAGAAAGAACCTACAATTAAATCGAAAACGTGCAATTGCAGAAAGCCGGAAATGTGCCCACTGAACGGACAATGCCTGGAAGCAGCAGTGATATATGAAGCAACTATTGCAGTGGAAAATGAAAAGAAAGAGCACAAATATATTGGGCTTACTGAAAACACTTTTAAGACCCGTTTCAGTTCACACACAAGCTCTTTCAAACTCGAGAAGCTACGAAATCAGACGGAGCTATCTAAGAAAATATGGGAGTTGAAAGATAAACAAACACCATATAAAATATCTTGGAAAATAATCAAACATGCTCATCCGTACAAGGGGGGTACGAAAGATTGTCATCTCTGCCTTACTGAAAAACTTTATATTATTTTAAATAAAGATGGCAATCTATTAAATAGGAGGAGGGAACTCATAAGTAAATGCAGGCACACGACGACAGGTAGAAAGGGTTGCAAAAAGGGCAAGAATTGTCCTTTCTTCCATCCTGAAATCTGCAAAACTGCGCTTGACATCGGTTCATGTTCTAAAAAGGATTGTTCGAATTTTCACCCTCGCTCTGCT